GGAGGGGGAAAAACCACAGTGTCGCAGGAACAGAGGTGTGAAGCAGCTTCTGTCTAGGCAGCCACGGAGGAAGTGAGAGGTGCTAGGGGAAAGTTGTCCGTGATTCACTGAGAGTCTTGGGGCAGGAGCTGTGGTGTTCATGCGGCCCAGCACCTGGTGGAGGGCCAGCCCTCAGCTGGTGCTTAAGAGAGTGTGCCAGATGAGTGGAGAGGAGGACGAAGAAGGGAGCAGAGAATGGAGAAGAGAATTGTGGCTTATTCACAGAATGGAATTCAGAGAGCAGTTAAAACTTGCACCATAAACACAGATGACTCTCCAAAATGTAATGGTACATGAGTAAAGCAAGAAGCTTTCAACATGCAAAACAGCACTACACATATACACACATACAGTAGGTTGAACTACATAAAATAGCCAATGTTTGACCATTCTGACGTAGAAAAAGAGTATCTCATTTGGTTGAACCTAAGTTGAGATCACAAGAGCTGGTGCATCCATAGCATGGAATACCACTCAGCAACAAAAAGGAACAAGCTATTGACACATGCACCAGCTTGCCTGGATCTTGAGGTAATTATGCTGAGTAAAATAAAGCCAGTCTTCAAAATTTACATACTGTATGATTCCATTTTTATAACATGCTTGGGATGACAAAAGCATAAAGATGGAGAACAGGTTAGTGGTTACCAGGCCCAGGGAGGGCGAGGGTAGGGAGGCGACTGTGGCTATGAAAGGGTGGCACAGTGACCCTCATCATGAATTGTTGTGTATCTTCACAGTGGTGGTCATGGGGATTCACATGTGAGGCCATTGCATAGAATTGAAGACTCACACAGGAATGCATATAAATCTGTTAAAATCTGAGTAAGGTCAGTTTGATTATCAGTGTCAATATCTTCATTGTGATGTTATATGACAGTCATCCTGGAGGTGAGCACTTCAAGAAACTGGATGAAGAGCCTATGACATCTGTGTTATTTCTTATTGCATGTGATTCCAGAACTCTCTCAAAATAAAAAGTTAGGACACACAAGGTAGGGATTCCCGTGAAGATGATGGTGTAGGTGAATGCAGTACTCAGAATTAAAGAATTACACCTCAATTACAGAACAACCATCATTCATAACGATCTGAAATCTAGCTAAACAGAAGTCCTACAACTAAGGATATAAAGGAAAAGCCACATTGAGACTGGTAAGAGGGGTGGAGACTCAGACAGGCTGGTCTTACACCCATGTGTGGCAGTTAAAAACCAGGAGGGATATTTCAGCTACAGAGGGCTCCCCCTAAGGAGCAAGAGGTCCCAGCCCAGGGTTCTGGTGCTGGGAAGAGAAGTCCCCATAACTGCTGCCTGTAAAAACCAGCGGGGATTATGACTGAGGGAGACAGGACTTCTGGAGTCCCAAGTGTTCCTCTTAAAGGGCCCACACATGAACTTACTCCAGACTCACTTGCTCTGAGTTCCAGCACTGGAGTAGCAGCTCTAAAGGCACCAAGGACATACAGGAAGGAACTGAATTGTCTGGCATCAGGGAGGGGCAGCTTCCTCCCAGGCAAAAGTTCTGGTAGAGACCATTATTTTTTCACTGAGCCCATCCACCCAGGCAGGCACCATATCTGAGTCTCCATCAATCTTGCTAACACTGTTAGCCCAACCCTGGTGACTCCCTGAGACCCTGCCTCACCCAACTTTCAGGTCCACCCAAGGCATTTTCAGTGGCTTTTCCATAGTAATGGCCTCTCTTGCCTCATGCTTCAGACCTTCCTAAAATCTCTCAAGCAAGCAGCATCTGACCTTTGCATACCCCATATCTCTTGCTAACTGGCCCCAGACCTGGCACTAGCAGCAGCCAGCCTTGGCCCCTATGGGCACCTCCAAGCCCAGCACAAGTAGCAGCCATCTGCAGATCACCCTGTACTTGTGCTGTGTGACCCCAGGCAGGGCACAAGTGGCACAGGCAGTGGCTGACCTTGCACCTCCCAAGAGATCCCAAAACCAGTGCACCTGAAGAACAGCTTCAGACCACACCGGATTACAATGCCATCACCTCTATGAGCAACACACTCAAGGGCCAGACTCTGCAGGCACCAAATCCCCAGTGAATTAAGTCCTACTCCATAGGGTTGGCCCCTGCATAGCAGCTCCTCACTGTAGTTACAGCTGGTCCTCACATCTGATCAGACTGGAGGTCATTTCCTCCCTGTGACATGCCAATAACAATCAAGCCTCAACTACAACAATACAGTGCACACCTGAAGCACCCAGCTCTGGTGAGTGGGGAGGCTGTGCCCCTAGGCCCTACATGACACCTACTACATACAGCCATTCTACCAAGCCCAGAAGACGTAGCAGCTCTACCTAATACATAGAAACAAACACAAGGAGGCAGCCAAAATAAAGAGACAAAGAAACAGGTCCCAAGTGAAAGAACAGGAGAAATCTTCAGAAAAAAAAAAAAAAACTAAGTAAAATGGAGGCAAGCAAACTACCAGATACAGAGTTCAAAACAATGGTTATAAGAATGCTCAGGGAACTTAGTGAGAACTTTAACAGCATAAAAAAAGACATGGAACCCTGACTGGGGTGGCTTAGTGGGTTGAGCACCAGACTGAGAAGCAAAGGGTTGACATTTGATTCCCAGTCAGGGCACATGCCTGGTTTCAGGCCAGGTCCCCAGTAGGGGGCACACAAGGGACAACCACACATTGAAATTTCTCTCCCCCTCTTTGTCTCTCCTTTCCCCTCTCTCTAAAAATAAATAAAATCTTTTTTTTAAAAAAAGACATGGAAACTGTAAAAAAGAAAAGTCAGAAATAAAGAATATACTAACTGAAATAAAGAATAAATTGCAGGGAATCAACTGTAAGGTAGATGAAGCAGAGGTTCAAATCAGCAATTTGGAATATAAAGAAGCAGAAAATACCCAATCAGAACAGCAAAAAAGGAAAATATAATCTTAAAAAAATGAGGATAGTATAAGGAATTTCTGGGACAACATCAGGCCTACCAACATTCTCAACACAGGGTGCTGCAGGAAAGAGAGAGCAAGAAATTGAAAACATATTTGAAAAAAATAATGATGGGAAACCTCCCTAACCTGGTGAAGGAAATAGACATACAAATTCAAGAAGCACAGAGAGTTCCAAACAAGATGAACCTAAAAAATGCCCACACCAAGACACATCATAATTAAAATGCCAAAGATTAAAGATAAAGAAGGAATCTTAAAACAGCAAGAGAAAAGCAGTAGTTACCTACAAGGGAACTCCCATAAGACTGTCACCTGATTTCTCAACAGAAACTTTGCAGATCACAAGGGACTGGCACAAAATAGTCAATGCAATGAAAAACAAGGACCTACAACCAAGATTACTCTACCCAGCAAAGCTTTCATTTAGAATCAAAGGACAGGTAAAGAGCTTCCCAGACAAGAAAAACTAAAGGCATTCATCACCACTAAACCAGTATTATAAGAAATGTTCAAGGGTCTTCTTTAAAAAAAAGGAAAAAGATTAAAAATATGAAATAATAAATGACCACAAAAAAGAACAAAATCTTAACCATTTGTCACAGCATGGATAGACCTAAAGGGTATTATGCTAAGTGAAATAAGTCAATCAGAGAAAAACAAATACCATATGAGTTCACTTATATGTGAAATCTAAAAAAATATATAAGCAAATAAACAAAACAGAAACAGACTCATAGATACAGAAACAGGCTGATGGTTGCCAAAGGGGAGGACGGTTGGGGGGCTGGGTGAAAAAGGTGAAGGGATTGAGAAGTACAGATTGGTAGTTGCAAAATAATCATGGGATGTAAAGCACAGCATAGGGAATATAGTCAATAATATAGTAATAACTATGTATGGTGCCAGTGGGTACTGGAAATATCAAGGGGAACACTTTATAAAGTATATGATTGTCTAACCACTATGCTGTACACCCAAAACTAATACAAAATATAAACTGTAATTGAAAAAAATTGTTAAAGAATTTGTAAATTTCCTTGGTGATGCTGAGTACAGCCAGGATGGAGAATCATGGGTCTACAAGAATACTGGCTTGGCTTAGTTGCATCAGACCAAGGGAGAGCTACTGGATGCTTCCAGGGAGCAGGGAGGTAGGGAGTGGCATTGCTACTGATGGTGAGGCAACGCAGGGTAGAGGCTGGAGGAAAGCTTTATGGTCACATCCCATGATGGCTCTGTACTAGTCAGGATTAATACCTATTGGAAAGTGTTGTGAGCTGAATCATGTCCCCCCATATTCATATGTTGAAGTCCTAATGTCTAGTGCCTCAGAGCGTGATGGCATTTGGAGACAGAGTCTTTAAAGAGTTGTAAGGGTGAGCCCTGGTCCAGTGTGCCTGGTGTCCTTATAAAAGCAGATTAGGACACAGACATGTATAGAAGGAAGAGCATGTGAAGAGACAGGGAGAAGACAGCCACCTGCAACCCAAGGAGCAAGGCCTCAGAAAAAAATAACCCTGCTGACACCTCGATCTCAGACTTCTGGCCTCCGGAACTATGGGAAAATAAATTTCCATTGTTTTTTTTAAAAAGACTCACAATGTAATGATTACTGCTAAACTTAAGATAGAGGTTCTTTCTGGGACAAGGAGTGGGTTATGCAAATAGAGAGAGATACACAGGGAGATTCAACATTTTCTGTCTTGTTTTCCTTCTTAAAAAAGAAAAATCTGAAGCAAATATGGCATAATGCCAAGGCTCTACAAAGCTGGATGGTGGGTGCACAGCAGTTTCTCTTATTATTCTCTATCACATTTTTATGTTTGAAATAGTTCATATTTTTTTAAAAGCTGATTTTGCATAACTCCTTGCATCCGAGCCCAGGATTGTGTCTGGGATACAGAGGGCTGAAGGTGCAGGGGGAGGGCAAAGGGCTCGCTGAGAGGAGAGAGGGCGGCCAGAGCCTGGCCCCCACCTCCCAGACCACAGAGGCTCCCCCCTCTAAGCCTCCCCCACCTGTTTTCACAGCCTCCGGAGAAGGAGGGTGCCCTGCCTCGGCAGGTGGGCAACAAGACTGAGTGCGGCCTGCTGGGCTTTGTGTTGGACCTGAAGCAGGACTACGAGCCCGTGCGCAGCCAGATGCCAGAGGAGAAGCTATACAAAGTGTACACATTCAACTCCGTGCGCAAGTCCATGAGCACAGTCATCAAGCTGCCCGACGAGAGTTTCCGCATGTACAGCAAGGGCGCGTCTGAGATCGTGCTCAAGAAGTAAGTGGCACGGTGAGCGGGCAGGGAAGCAGGGTGCTAGGGACTATGGAGTGACACTGCCCTGTAGGCCTGGCCAGAGGAGCCACCTGGAACCCAGAGGCTCAGAGAGGGCCCTGCCCACTGTCCCACAGCAAGACCACCTCCGGGGCCACTATTTCCTCTTTAAAATGTCTATAGAGAGTTCTGTTCCTCCTTCTCTTTTAGTAGGAAGTTCTACGCATTATCACAGTTAGATCTCTCTTAGTTCACTTCCCTTGACATAGAGTTGGTTGATGGTAGTGATTTTCACCATTAGCCAGTCTGCTCTGACTCCAGGTGCTAGAAAAAAGCCTGGGGAACTAAGCAAGTCACTCTCCCACTCTAGCCTTCAGTTTCCCCACTTGTACTTTGAGACATTTATCTAGTCCAGTGGTTCTGAACCCTGGCTACATGCTGGAACCACCCCAGAGCTTTTAAGAAACCATTGTTTCCTGGACGCACCCCAGACACAATGGACGGGAAACCTCTGCGGTAGGGCTCACGCACGGGTGTACATTTGTTCATTGTTTCCCCGTGCCACGATAGTATGCAAGCAGGGTTAGTAACCACTGGCCTGAGTTTTATGTCCTTTGAAAGCCATTTTAGTCGTGGAACTATTTTTTCATGTGAAATTTTGTGAATATAAAAGAGATCAAAGTGAACCTGCTCTTGCTGAGTGGACGGGGGCAGATATTACAGAAGGCTGACTGATTTCTTTTTGACTGGTCCTGATTTCATTCCCCCCTGGGGCCCCAGGGCCCGAACCAGCCCTGAAGCATTATGGCAGATGGACTGGTGGGGCACTGGGTGACCCATCACAGCCAGCTGGGCATCCCTGGGGTGGGAAGGTGAGCTTGAGCAAGTCAGAGGGAAGATCTTTAGGCCCCTGGATGGACCTTATCCCTTTCCATGCTGTCCTCCCTCAGATGCTGCAAAATCCTCAACGCAGCAGGTGAACCCAGGGTCTTCCGGCCCCGTGACCGGGATGATATGGTGAAGAAGGTGATCGAGCCCATGGCCTGTGATGGGCTCCGCACCATCTGTGTAGCTTTCCGCGACTTCCCCAGCAGCCCCGAGCCTGACTGGGATAATGAGAATGACATTCTGAACGACCTCACTTGTATCTGTGTGGTGGGCATCGAGGACCCTGTGCGGCCTGAGGTAGGCAACCCCTGCCGCCCCCCCCCCCCGCCACCAGCACCAGCAGATCGGGGAAGAGGGTCAAGGCTGGGAGTCTAGTTGGCTGGGTGACCTGACATAAAGTCGCCTCACCTCTTTGAGACTTAGTTACCCCGTGACACCCACAGGGTCTTTTCTTTACCGGCTTTTAAACATTCAGACTCACCAGACAGCACAGGTCAAAGTCGGCGTCAATCTGCTCAGGTTATACCGCAGAAACCACAGCCTACGAGCAGTCCTGGAACCGTTCCCCCAATCACCCTAGACCTTCCCACCAGCCCCTGAAGGGGCAGGTGTGAGGGCTGCCCTGCCTTAGAAGCCCCTTGCCATATAGGAGCCAGGATCTCCTGTAACAAATTCATAGGATTCCTAGGTCCCTGCAAAGGAGATGGCCATGACAAAGGTCACCAGATTCAGGAAACCCCCAAGTATGGTATCCCCACCAGCATTTAGGGTTCTCCCCATCAAGATCCAGATTACCGGCCAGTTCATACTCGCCAGCTTGCCTAGGGTCACAACTGACAGTTTGCCTTTATCAGGTTTCCAAGGGAACAGAGCCAGAAAGTTAACGGAAGGTCAGATTCTCAAGCAGAAGGGAAGGGGAATCACAGCAGCACAGCCCTCCCCATAAGGATCGAGGGAGGTGATGCACTGAGTACACCCAGTGTGGTGCTCAGCTCACAGTAGGTCTTCAGTCTCCTTTAGCTGAATCTGAGCCAAGAATTCAGCACTGGGGATTTGTAGGGTTGGAAAGGATAGGACGCAGATGGTTAGTCAGGCTGCCCAGGCCAGTGAGAGGTTGTGGGGAGAGGGGAGAGCCACCTCAAGGCTCTAAAACACTGCTGTGGGCAGCAGAGCTGAGGACATGAGGCAAGGTACAGGAGGGATTGGCCTCCGCTTCCTCCAAGGACTAACACAGCTGCTGGGTCCAAACCCGAGTGCCTGGCCAGGCCCTGGCTGGGTCCAGATTGTCCATGGCTGTAGGATTCGGTGACAATACCCCAGGGGCTATCTTCCTCCACCAAGGGCACCTTCCATCTTCCCCACTTGCCCTGACTCCATTTTCTGGGAGCCTCTGGTTCCTTGCTCCTCTTGAAGACTCTGTTTTCCCTTCTTTCACGTGAAAAGGGATAGACAGATGCTAACCAAGTTTCCAGCCCTGATGTTGGTTCCACAGACCAAAAGAAACAAGAAGGTCGCAGACATGGACTTTCACATTCAGGCAACAGGGAGAGAGGTCAAGAGTGTGAGCTCAGGCATCAGACAGACCTGGGATGCTGAGTCCTAACATTACTGGCTGTGTCACCTTGGACCAGTTACATAATCTCTCTGAGCCTGTTCCCTCATCTGTAAATGTGATAATAATAGTATTCCATGCACGCACACACACACACACACAGAGGGAATACTGTACAACTTCAGACCATGCACATACAAGCAACAAGCAGGGTGGCTGGTGCAGGACAGCTGGTCCATAAGTGTGGGTCGCCTTCCTCTCTTCCCCTCCCAGTACAGTCATTATTCTGGGTCCAGTGACACATACAGCCCCTGATAAGGAGCCTGGCTTACAGAAGGTGCTCGATTAGTGTTTGTGAAAGGAATGAATGAGAAGGGACAGGACTTAAACCTCAGTCTTCTAACACTGTGCCGGGTGTTCATCTTATACACACACACGCACCTTCGCACTCTCACCCACAGCCTAAACAGCAAAGGCAACAAATGCTCTGGCACTTGGCATCAGAGCCCGTGTGTTTCCCTGCTGACTGCATCTCCCCCTGGACAGACAGGCCATTTCTCAGCCCCCCTGTAGAGCGCCTGCTCATTCCCAGCTGCTAGTGGGTTCAGGCTTCACCATGATGAGTTACCTCCTTACAAGCCATGGAGGTGTGTCCCTGCGCGGGGCATGAGGCCCGCCTGCGGCTGCCCTGATCTTCCCCTCCCCAGAACCCCGCTCTGGCCCCACATGCCCGAAGCTGCTGGCTCGCCGCCCTGCCTCGAAAACACCACTGAGGTGGATGGAAAGCAGCACTGCACACACATGTCTTTGGCCATGACCACAATACAAGAAATGTATTTTATGTCTGCCTCATTAAACACACACACTTCACCAAAATGAGAATTCATGAAGTCATGTGATACACTTGAGTATTTCCCATTCTCTTGTCTTTCTTTCTTTTTGAAATGCTGGCCACCACCCACAAAACTGATTTTACAATCCACTAATGAGGGATGAGGGGAAGGCAACTCAAGGTTTGCACTGCTGATCTGATCTTAACACCTTCCCACACCCCCAATTTGTGGACGAAAACACTGAGGCCCAAACAGGGAGAGTGATTTCCCCAGTCTCATTGTAAGTGGCTGAGGGAATCCAGATTAGAACAGGTTTTCTGCTTTCCTGACCCAGGACTTTGTTCTGGGTGCTGCAAAAAAAGGGAAGGCAAGTAGCTGTAAGTCAGGAGGGTGAGGAAAGGGGAGAGGAGGCCTGAGAGGGGCTGAGCCCGGTCCCTGGCATTTTCTGTTGGCAGCCTGGTCATCCAGGGACTGCCCCTCTCTGTGCCTCAGTCTCCCCATCTGTTAAATGGGAGCTTGGCCCAGGCGCTCCTCCAGTCCCTTTCAAGTTCTGACCTTCTGAGCTAGCCAATTGGAAGGCTTCCCTTCATGCCTTTCTTCTCTTCCTTCAGTTAACACACACCTGTTGGTGACCGTCTCTCTCTCATGTGCACACCAAGGATGTAGATTTAGAAGTTGTGAGTTGTGTTAGACAGCAGTGGCTCACTGAAGTGACACAGTAGTCACAAGAGACACGGGTTCTAATCCTTCACAGAGGACCTCGATGCATCTTTTCCCCAGGCTGTAGTGTCCCCATCTGAACAATGAGAAAGTTGGGCATTCACAAGGAAGGGACACAGGAGGGTTACTGGTGACACTACTTGAAGATATAAAAGCTTTGACTTGCTGATTCAGCACCTCCCAGAGGGCAGGGATGGATGCAAGGCCTGAGAGACCGGCAGGTGTAGTTTTCATTTTTTATTTCTTCTAGGCTAAGTAATTTATGCACATGGAGCCAAATTCAAAAGGTCCAATGGCATAGTTGGGGTGAAGCAGCCCCGATGCCACACCCAGTTCCCCAGCTCCCACCTCAGAGGCAGCCACCCTCACCAGTTTCTCGGGTGGCCCTTGGGGAACATCTGTGCCTGCAGTGAGTGTCTTTGTGTCAGCTTCCCCTGGGCGGCCTCAAGGCCGGCCGAGTGAGCGCCTGGACCACCTCTCAGCCCCCGAAGGCATGTTCAGATTCACTTTGCAGCTGCCATAGGAAAACAGACTCTGACTCCTTAGTTTCCCATCTGTCAAGGGGGCAAATCTTGGATTGCCTTTCTTCCTCAAGAGGACAAAGGACAGAATAAATAAAAACAGGCTTGCTGTACACCCCAGCCTAAGACGCTATCGCAGGTGCACTTTCCGAGGCTGATTGCAGCCCGTGTGGGTAAAGCCATCAGGAGAGAGCGGTCTGGGCTTGCTGGGTTAGCCGGGGTGTGGGGGCCCTCGGAGTCACCGACAACGGCTGTTGCCAGAAACAGCAGATGTTGTTTAAAAGCCTTTATTTAATGAAAACAGGAAGCACCCATTTCCTAGCTGTTTTTTCTCAGTGAGAAATAGGATAATTTTAGCAAAAGAAGGAATCTTTTTAAAAATTTTACAGCTATATTATCTATGTGGAAAGCATATTTCAACCAGATTGATGCCTCTGGGGCATGAGTTTTAATCATCTCTGGATCCCCAGTGCCCAGAACCGTTAAATGTTCAATAGCTGTTTGTCAGGTAAATGAATGAGTGAGCAATAGGAGGCAGTACTGAGAGCAGGTGAGGGAAGTGCCCCATGGGGTTGGAGCAAGCAAGGGTGGCTTCATGAATAGAGAGCATTTCCCATGAAAGCAGGGACATTCCAGGCAGAGGGGACAGCACAGGCAAAGGCAAGCAAGTGGGAAGGGATGCTAACTGTTGGGAATTAGTGAATACCCCAGTCGAATTGATAAGGGAGAAAAGGGCCAGAAACAGATCTGGAGCTAATTTGTGAAGGGTTTGCATGTCCCCATCTAAATCCATTCACCTCGCTATGTATAAGATCACATGTCCCAGGTCAGACTTCAAGGGACTTAACCGCAAAGATGGTTCACAGTGCCCTGCGTTTACAGAGCCCGTTCTCTGTGCCAGGCCCCCTGGAGTGTTCCAAGAATTGGCAGTGTCCCTGCTCCAGAGCCCACAGCCTAAGGAACCACCCCGAGAAGGAGGAAATGTAGATGCATAGCACATAAGAGCATGAAGCAGGACAGGATTGAAGCACAGCAAAGGTGTCCAATTAGGAGGGCCTCTGCCCAGGAAGGAAGTGGAGCATCTCAAGGTGGCCAGGGAGGTTCCTGGGGTTTCCAGGTCTGTCTCAGATTCCCCCACATTTAAGGCAGGTCACAGGATGTAAGGTTCCTGACCCAGGAGTCATGGCGGGGTGTCCACTTATCCCACTCCCCAACACTGGCTCCTGATGCCCACTTCACCCCACCCCTATTGTGTCCGCATCCACACACTCCCTCTGCATCTCTCTGTCCCCCAGCAAAAATAAAAAGAAGACTAGGAGTATGTGGGTGCTTGGTGCTGTTCAGCCCTTGCCACAGAACCCTCCAGTCTTGCTGAAGGGTGGAGACTATCATCCCCATTTCACAGGTGAGGACACCAAGGCTGGGTTTGCACCCAGAGCAAAGCCCTGAGTCCCCTGTCCCGAAGCAGGGAACTTCCACTGCACAGACAAAGGTGTGGAGGTCATAATAATCAGCCTCATTTTTCTCCCCAGCTGACTTATTTGGGGGAGACCTTGGGAATATGGTTCCAGGCAGGCAGAATTTAGTTGCCTGAGGCAGTCTAGAAAGCAGAAGTCTTTCTAAAACATGGCACCAATCACCTTCGTCCCAGTTCAGAATTTGCCATGGCTCTTAGGCCCGAAGGAGCAAGTCCCTGCTTCCTGCACCTTCAGACCTCGGGCCCCTCTTCAGCTTCTTGGTCCCCGCCTCAGACTCAGCCCCTCTGGATCACCCACAGTGGCTCGTCTGCAGTCCCCTTCCACCTTCCGTGCCTTTGCACTTCATGGGATGGTTTTCTGCAGCCAGGACCACAATGAAGTGGTCATCTGTGTAGCCCCAGCCAAGGCAGTGTGCCAGGCACCAGAGCCTCAGTTAGTGTTAGCTGAACAGAAGCAGCTCAAATTTCTTCTCCTCCAGGAAGCTCTCAGAGATTTCTCCTCCCCATCCATTTCCTTTTAAAGTAACAGCATCCTCCTTTGTGTTTCCAGAGCCCTTTATATAGATCTTTACCAAAGACAAAGACGCTGTGCCCATACAAGAGTACAGGTCTGACCCAGAGTAATCACTGTCTTATCTGGAAAAAGAACACTTGAGTGAAATATGCGGAAGGACACGATAGACTTGTTCCACCGTAAAGCAGTCAGCCTTGGAGACAGTGAGCACCCTGTCGTCAGAGGTGTGCGAGCAGAGGCTGACCAACCATCTGTCAGAAACACCTGGGAGGAGATCTAGGCAATGAGTGGAGAGTGTCGTTTCCCAATTTCTTTGAAACAAACAACCTAAATTATTTCTTTTAGGGCAGGAGCCAGAAAAAGTATGTGTTCCCAAAAGAACAGTGGATCCTTCCTATCCTCTGGGACAGGAGACAGCACAGGCTGCAGCACAGGCTACAGGCATTGTGAGGACATGATAGATTATGTAAACAGGATCTTAGACATTCCACATCCCCATTCCCTCCGGCTCCGTAAAAGGAGGTCACATTTGCTTATGCGCGCAGCTGCTGTGGCACGAGGCAGGGACCTGGCGCATGTAATTCCCATTCCTGAGCGGCCCCTGGAAGGCTCTTCCTTGGCCCTGGAAATACACCTACAAGAGAATGTGGTCAGCTCACCTGTGCTAGTCCCTCAGTGACAGGGAGATCACTACCTGCCATCACAGAGCAGGTCTCTCAAGGAACGCATAGCCAGAGAGGCCTCCTTACCTGGACCCGGACCCTGCCTGTCCACGTCATTTGTCCCTCGCCCCACCACCAGGTGGTCATTCTCAGGAGCCTGGATTTTCTCCACAGGCAGCAGGTGGAGCCCCTGAAGAAGGGTGACATCACAGGCTGAACTTCAGGTTGCTGGTGGTCACTGGAAAGAGGGGAGAGGGGCACGGCCAGAGGCAGGGAGACTGAGAAGGAGCCAGACAGTGACCTCACTTAAGATGGTGGTATAGACAGGTGTGGACAGAGGCCACATGCTTTCAACGTTGATCCTTATTCTTAAAATCCTGAGGGCAGAAAGGGGATTAGCAGGCAGGAGTTATCAATAGGTGTGGTTTGGAACAATATTACTTTCTTAGTTTAATCTTTATTGAATTTTTTTCCATCACCATTCGGTCCCCTTCTACACCCTTCCCCACAGTGGACCAATATTCTAACTCTTTGTATTTGCCAGGGCTGCTGTGACAAAGCACCACGGTCTGGGTGGCTCCAACAACAGAGCTGTATTGCCTCACGGTTCTGAAGGGCAGAAGTCCAAAATCAAGGTGTCGGCAGGGTCAGTCCTTCCGAGGCTGTGCAGAGAGGACCTATCCCAGTCCACTCCTCTGGCAGCTGGTGCCTTGCTGTCGATCCTCAGCACCCCCTGTCATGCAGCAGCATCGCCCCGATCTCTGCCTTCGTGCAGTGTGTGTGTCGTGTCCAAATTTCCCCTCGTTATGAGGACACCAGTCACCTTGGATGAGGCCCCCCCGCCAATGACTTCATCTTAATTTGATTGCTTCTGTAAAGGCCCTACCTCCAAATAAGGTCACATTCCAAGGTCCTGGGGATGAGTATTTCAGTGTGTCTTTGGTGGGGACACATTTCAGCCTAACACAGTCTCCACACTCTCTCAAAGGCAACTTGGCAGAGTCAGTTGCCTGAGACGCTCCAGGGTGAGAGAGAGCTCCCGGGCGGGCACTGGGATGTGCGGGAATGGGGTGTGGGACTCAGCCCCGCCAGGCCTGAGATTCTGAAATGCTTTAGTCTTTCAGTACATAGGATTTTCTGCCCTTGACATGTCTTTTCCTGATCAAAAAAAAAAAAATGCTTTGCAGTAAATATTGCCTTACTATTTTATTATTTGTTGCTGTTGATGGGGAAGAATTTTGTTCAGTTGATCTGTGTTGTCTGTAAAGTTGATCTGTGTTCTGGCAGCTCCAGGCTAGCTTTTGCATCCTAATTTCTGGCCAAATCCACAGCTCTGCATAAGGTTGGGAACAGGGTGGTTGGGTAGGAGTGAGGCCTTGCTGGCTTCTGATTGGCTAGCTGTGCTCTGGCCTGATTGGCCCAGATGTCACTCTATCATTACAGAGAGGGCAGGAAGCAGTTCTTATTCTCACAGGGAACTGTCATATTTTGCACAAGACAGTCATTTGCATTTATTCTAAGCCAGTATCACATTCTATAAATAAAATGCAATGCCTCCTCCAAAAAAAAAATAATACATAAATGTATTTATCATTGACTTTGCAGGAAATGTGCATGTGGGTAAAGCAAGGACAAGATCCTGTGCAGTAGTAGAGTGTTCTGTACTCTGACCTAGGGCAAGATCTGAGGGAGCATTTATTGGGATCTTTCTCAAAGTCTTTGCCTGGGTCTGGATAGCATTGGTTTGATCCTTGGATGGACTATCACAGTTGATAGGTGGTGGCTGCCTGGAACTCTGCAAAGAAGAATTCCGAGACCACTTCAGAGTTTAATCAGAGGGTGCCACAATTGATTAGCAGTGCCTGGCATGGGAAGAGCAGGGGTGGAGATGATCCATGTGCCATCAGTATCTCCTGGTCATCTAGGCCCCTTATAATGGAGCTGCCTGTGAACAGGGCTCAATCTGGAATCCATGAAGGCAGGGAGGGCCTGCCCAAGGTGGTGCCCACCCCCATGGCCCCTGCCCTCCCACCCAGGTCCCAGAAGCCATCCGAAAGTGCCAGCGGGCAGGCATCACAGTCCGCATGGTCACCGGCGACAATATCAACACAGCCCGGGCTATCGCCATCAAGTGTGGCATCATCCATCCTGGGGAGGACTTCTTGTGCCTTGAGGGCAAAGAGTTCAATCAGAGGATCCGCAATGAGAAAGGAGAGGTACGTGGCCCAGGTCTTCAGAGGTGTGAGCTTGGACAGTGGACTGGGAGGTATGGGTGCTGCATGCCTGTCCAGAAGCCAGCCAATGTGCCAAGAGCCCAGTGACTCTAGGCAAGTCCCCTCCTTTCTCTGGGCCTCAGCTTCTCTCCCTGACCCCACCGACCTGCCCCCTTCCACATCCCTCTCCAGATTGAACAAGAGCGAATCGACAAGATCTGGCCAAAGCTACGGGTGCTGGCTCGCTCCTCCCCCACCGACAAGCACACCCTGGTCAAAGGTAAGACTTGGACGAGCACAGGCAATTCTGTAGCCCAGGTGCCAGACCTCTCCACATCTTACCCCCAGGCACCTGCCACTTCTTCCCAGGACAAAAGGGCTTTTGCCTGGGGCTCCCCAGACCTAGAACACCCTGATCTCATCCCCTTTGCAACCCTGGAGGGCTCCTAAAGGCCACAGTGAGGTCAGGAGGATGCAAATCTTCTCTCTGCGCCTCAGCTCCTATAGGAAGCAATGGGGCAGCTTATCTAGGGGTCAAAACTCATGGCCTGAAGGTTGAATGGGATCCACAGGCATGTTTTACTTGGGTAGTATAATGACTTTTCTATGTTGAATTTCAGTGACTTTATATAGACCCTGCCCTCTCATGTTTGACTCCATTGACACTCTATATTGTCTGACACTCAGCTTGCTTCATTTACTTATGTTCTGCCTGGCCCCAGAGCTTGGGACTTTGAGATCTTTAATCTGCTTGGTCTCTGAGGCCCCTGACCAACATTTGTAACCAGGCCCTCAAGGATGGGCTGTCCTGGGGAGAGCAGCCTGAGAGACGAGGCCAACAACCAGCATCCTTCTCCTTCCCTGTCTCCCTCCAGGGAGAGGGCACGCCCCTTGCTGAGCCCACCCAAGTGGCCAGATGCTGGGCACTTTCAGAGTCACACAGTCCTGGGTTCAAGTCCTGGCTCTGCCACTGATTTGCTGTGATCTTGGGAAATCCCTTCCCACTCTGGAGCTCAATTTTTCCATCTGTAAAGTGGCCATGCAATGAAGGCTTCTGGCTGAGGTCATCTCTAGGACATCTTGGATTCCTTTCCCAGAGGTGTTGCCCAAGGACATTAATGACAGAGGATCTGGCCTGGAACAGAAACACAGAACCCCAGAACTGCAGACATCCAAGCAGGAGACCCCCAGTTCATCCCCATCTTTTATCCAGTCGCTCATTCGTTCACTCACTCATTATCTTGATAAATGCTCATTGAGGACCACGTGCTGGGCAGTGCTCTTAGTAGCCATGGCCTTTCCCTGTTGGAATCCATGGTCCAGGGCCCATCCAGCAGATACTAGATGGCTGGTTTCCCTACACAGAGCTAAAGGCTACACTGGGAGATAAGAAGGGTGATCTGAGACCCTCTGCTGGTATCAGACCACAGGCCATGGAAGGTGGGATGGGGTCCAGGAGAAAGGGCCTGCGTTTCAGGCAGGGCAGACAACTGCACTATGAAAGCCCAGAGGCAAAGACTTCCAGGCCCAAATGGAACTGGCTCTGCAGAACCAAGAGCCATTCCTGTGGTTAAATCACAGATTAGGGGTGGCCGGGGATGAGAGAAGAGGTGATCAGAGAATGGGCAAGTCCTGACCATGGAGGACTTCGTGAGCAGAGCCAAGAATGCAGATGTCCTTCTGAGACCAAGCGGGCAGTTAAAGAATGACTCTCAGCTGGTGCTGAGGGGACAGGCTCAGACTCGGGTGTTAGAAGGACCCTGGAGCTGCTGTGAAGATTGGAAGGGGAGCCCGGGGTTAGCAAGGGGGCATGGAGATGCTGGTGGCAGAAGGGATGGGGACAGGAAGAAGTGGGAGGACTCCATGGGATTTCTGAGCCAGGCCCCTCAGGCCTTGGTGACACATTTGATGTGTGGAATGACAGGGGGACATGTCAAGGTTGACACACAAATCTCTGTCCCGCCCGTAAACTCCACACATGCCCAGTGGTATTTTTACCCATCCTTTTCCACTGGTCCCATCTCGGTGACAGGGACCACATGTCATCTGTTCATTCTGTAATTTGTTGAGGATTTTATTGAAGATAAATGTCTGGAGAGAGATCAAGGCCAGTACAGTGGGCCAGAGGTCATGGGTGATAGGCACAGCCAGATCTCAGGTGTGACCGGACCTCCCAGACAGGTGGAGCTCATGGTAGGCCCCTGGCAAAACCCTAGAGCCCCTGGAGCACAGGCCAGGGTGGCTGCTGGTGTGGCCATGGGCTGCAGAGAAAAGAGAGGGTTCTGGATAGGCAAGGAGGCCCAGACCATGGAGAGCTGCAAGCCAGCACTGGGCTAAGGTGCCCAGCATCCCCTCCAGTGCTGGGAGATATGGGTGAGTCTGGAGCTGGGAACAATCCTGAGGGGCGGGAGTGGCAGGGCAGAGGCTAGAGAGGAGGCTGTGCCCAGCCCAGTGTCCTGGGGATCCTGCCCCAGGGAGCATCCATGGCCCTGAGCACACTCCTGCCCCATCCCACAGGCATCATCGACAGCACACACACCGAGCAGCGGCAGGTGGTAGCTGTGACAGGCGATGGCACCAATGATGGTCCTGCACTCAAGAAGGCAGACGTGGGCTTTGCCATGGTAGGAGCGGCTTGCAGTGGGGGCCAGGGCAGTATCTGGCAGGAGCCCATGGGCAGGAGGTTAGGGGAACATAGACAATACAGCCTCAGGCTGGCAGTGCAGACCCCTGCTCACCTCAGCCCGTCCAGCATCCACCTTATGTGCCCAGGGCTCGTGAAGCTCAGCCTGGCTGCCAGGGTCTCCCTGGAAGGGCAGAGGGAGGCTTCCTACACTAACGGATCTGGGTTGGGGGTGGGGAAGGGACCAGGGAGAGGCTTCCTGAAAGCAGAGACCAGGGGGCTAGGTCTGTTAGGAGTAGGTGTATGTGTACGTGCAACACGTGTGTGTGCGCATGTCTCTGTGTACCTGTGCATGTTCCCATGTGACCTGGTGGTGCTGGCAGTTGGGTGTGTTTATGTGGGGGCTTGTATAGAACTGAGGATGTGCAGAGGGTGAGCACAGTGTTACTAGAATGGCTTGCCTCCTCCACTGACCCACCCAGGCTCCTGTCCCCATCCCCACAGGGCATTGCAGGCACAGACGTGGCCAAGGAGGCCTCGGACATCATCCTGACAGACGACAACTTTAGCAGCATTGTCAAGGCAGTGATGTGGGGCCGCAACGTCTATGACAGCATATCTAAGTTCCTGCAGTTCCAGCTGACAGTCAATGTGGTGGCTGTGATTGTGGCCTTCACGGGTGCCTGCATCACGCAGGTGGGTCCTCTGAGGAGTCTATAAAGCATGCGGGAGTCTGGGGAAAGACAGACACCCACACGGGGACCCAGGTTGTTGTGCCCGTCAGTGGAGTACCTGCTGAGGGCCAGGAACAGCTTTATAGACCTCGGGGCAGGCGCCAGCCCCATAGGGTGGAGGAAATGAGGCTCAGAGACGTGGCAGGGTTGCCCAAGGTCACCCAGCAAGTGGGAGACGTCAGGCCTTACTCCACATCTACCTGCTGCAGGCACAGTCCAGGCCCCTGCTGCAGGAGGCAGGGGAGGTGGTCCTTATGGGAAGGTAGAGCTCCTAGCTTCATAAAGGACCAGGAGGAGGCAGGCAAGGGAGACCAGACAGCCAGATGGGGGCAAGGAGCTGGCAGGGCCCAGGAGCCCTTAGTTCTGACACAAAGCATGTCAGGTTAGGCCTGTTTGCCTGGGTTCCTGAGGCCAGCTGGGGGCAGCAGGAGGGAGTCTGGGCCTCTGTGTCACTGGGAGAGGCAGTGTCTATTGGGATCTCAGTCTGGGTCCTGAGCAGCCACAGGTCCTGAACCCAGGTAAAGCGCACCACAGGCCCCAACATCTGCAGCTTCGCTGCCTCCTCACCCAGCCCCATGCAGCAAGAACCAGTGATGATCCCCATTTTACCGAGGCAGAAACTGAGGTTCGGAGTATGGACAGGCCAAGTACCTGCCATTGCTCTCACAGCTGCCTGCCTTCCCCAGGGGCTGACCCCGCAGGTCTGGGGAGGAAACCGGTGTTCCCAGGCTTGGCCCCTCCTAGCGGCCCTGTGGGCAGACAAGTTCCTGCCCACAGGAAACCCCCAGAGGCCCGGAGGCCAGCACTGCCCTGAAGAGCCATGTGGCCCTTGGAACACTGCTCTCCTCTGTTTTGTTCTGAGCCCTTGGGCATACGCATGGCAGCACCCAGTACTCAAGCCCTGAGAGTCAGAGCCTGGGGGTGGCTGAAGGTGTCCCTTCTGCTCTCACGGGCCTTCTGTCCTGGTCTGTGGATGAGAGGCTCCCTCTAGTGGTGGTTTGGGAAACACTCCCACCTCATGGCAACTCATTGTTTCTCAGAGACCCACTGATGCCAGATGGGGAAACTGAGGTTCTGAGAGGACTGTCAGTTTGCATAAGGTTTTAGATTGAGTTGGGGGCAGGGCCATGGAGACCTTGATGGGGATATCACGGGCACTAGCCCCAAGATGCATGTAGTAATCGGTGAAGGCTGATGGGCAGGAAGAAGCTGCGGGTGTGGGGAGCATGATGTGACTGTGCCAAGGCAGATGTGGCAGAGTGGGCAGGAGGAGGGTCTGTGATAAGCACCCAGGAGGTGAGTGAGTGTCTGTGTGCAGACGGAGAGGGCCTCAGCAGTTCCACGAGAGGACAAAGGGACGAGGAGCAGCTCAGGGTCTGTGAGCTTCCTGAAGGAGGTGTTTCAGCAGTGGATGAAGCTAAAGCCACAGGGAGAGAGGTCTGGGCTGGAAAGAGGGTGATGTCGGGGAAAGGTGGGCCCCTGGAGTGGGGGTGCGGGAGGCAGGTTTAGAAAGAGAGCAGGGCCTGGGAAGGGGCCATGGGGAGCGCAGATTTAAGAGGCAGGGAAGAGGAGAGGCACCCTGAGGGAGACAGAGGAGGGAAGGAATGATCAGAGAGAATGAGGGGAGTGGGGTCAAGGGCGCAAGGAGGAGGTGGTGGCCAAACGCCACAGGGAGGCCAGCGAGATGAAGCTGGGAAATTCATTCCTTGATTGTGACAAGTAAGGCACTGGCGACCTTGGGGAAAGGCATTTGGAGGGCATGGAGAGGCCACAGTCTGGCTGCCAGAGACATGGCACCTAGGGGTGCGAGGAAGGAGGGGGAAACAGGTGGAGCAACTTTGGACAGTGTAGACGGTGCGGCATGATTGCACGGAACAGTGTGGGTGCACGATCCCGGTCTCGGGCAGAGAGGGTGGAAGGACCCACGCCAGACTGTGGGCAGTGGGAACCTAGAGGTGGTGCAATCACTGATGGGCTTTAGCACCTGCTGTTACTTAATTGCCCAAATTTTCTACCATGAAATTATGTTACTTTTAGAATCTTACATATACACAATTGCTTAACTTAAAGTGGGATAAAGGGTAAAGAGAAAGCAAGTGGCAGTGCAAAGAGTACAGGGTCATGGGCACTGCTGGTGGGAAGGAAAGACTCGAGCCATTGACAGCTGAGGGGAAAGAGGCCCCAGGGAGGGAACAGGGGGGGGTGGAGGAGAGGGGGTTCGTGCTAGAGCTTGGGGGGAGGTCTTGGCCTCAGCCTAGAGGTGAGACGCGTGGAGGGGAGGAAGGAAGATGGCAGGCAAGGATGTGGCTGAATTTACCAAAGGGCAGAGACCTGGTGGCCATCAGTCCAGGGGGATCCATTTTGTCCTTGTGGGATAAGACAGCCAAAGTGGGCAGGTCTGGGCTGTTCTCCAGGGAAAGCCTCAAGAACCTGCTCTGCGCCTGCTCAGGGACTCAGGGGTGGGGTGGGCCAGACCCACTGGGCAGAGCAGCCTCAAGGCTCTGCAGGAAGCTGCTTAGGCCCCAGTGACGAGGCCCATGCCAGGCACTTGGCCCATGCCAGGTGGCAGGTGGGGCCGGCCTCCGCTGTGACAGCCCTCTCCATGGCCGCTGTCCCTAGGACTCCCCTCTGAAGGCTGTGCAGATGCTCTGGGTGAACCTCATCATGGACACGTTCGCCTCACTGGCGCTGGCCACTGAGCCGCCCACCGAGACCCTGCTTCTGAGGAAACCATATGGCCGCAACAAGCCCCTCATCTCGCGGACCATGATGAAGAACATCCTGGGCCACGCCGTCTACCAGCTCACCCTCATCTTCACACTGCTATTTGTTGGTGAGTCCCCACCCCCAGCCCCCACGTGGATACCATACCCAGACCTAGCGTCCTTAATTCACATCTGCTGTCCTGTTTGCGCATGGGTGATGGATGCTTAGGGAGGTGGAGTTAGTTGCTCCAGGTCACACAGCAAGACTTGGGCAGAGCCAGGCTCTGTGCTGTCTGGCCAACCCCCAAACCCAGGCTTTCTCCACTGGTGATAGCTCTGAAGGTTGAGTACGTACCATGCAAGGCAGTGCCCAAACGCCAATGAATGCCCCTCAGGCCAGCCCCATAGGGGCCTGTGGCTCTTGGGGGAAGGGACTGGCCTCTTCTCTGACCCGTTCCCACATATTACCCTTGCCTTGTGGAAGGTATCCTCAGCAAGACTTCCTCGGGGAAATACCACACTCCTGCCCACCCACCAGTTACTTCCACAACACTTGCATTTAGGTTGCCAGCCACTCCACGGGGCAGGCACCACTGCCATCACTGCACATTGCAATGGTAGCACCAAGCACAGAGAGGTGAGGTGACTTGCCCAAGCATATGCAGATGATCTGAGGAGGGGAGCCCAGGCAGAACCAGGTCTGGCTTGGGCTAAGACTGGCCTGGTTTCCATGGGTGCTTCAGAGATGATCCAGGCAAAGCCTACCCCCAGGTAATAGATGAAAAAATAGAGGCCCAGAGAGAAGGGGCTTGTCCATGGTCACCCAGCAAGTTGGGGCCAGTTGGGAGTCCCCAGCCTGGGCAGGCCCCCTCCACGTGAGCCTCCTCAAGCTGGACTTTCAACACCAACGAGCAGTTGCCTCGAAGTCCAGAGTACAGATGAGGGTGGGGCGTGTATCTCGTTCCTCAAAGGACAGTCATCTTGCATGCATTTCAAAGGGGATGTGTTGGCAGGACTGTGGTAAAGATCAGTTGAACAGCCTTGGGAGGGAGAGACTCGCAGAGAAAGCTGGAGGCGAGGGAGGGGAGAGGAGGGCAGCCTCCTGGCTTACTTGCTGGCTTTCCCACTTGAGCACCTACCCTGGGGGGTCTTGGGTTCAGCCAGACACCTCACACCCAGAAAACCCCACAGGCCCACCTAGCACTGCCTTCCATAGGCATGCCATCAGCAGGTGGCCACACAGCCCCCGGGGGGCTACTCTGCCCTCCTCCCCGTGACAGTCAGGTGTGAGAAGGTGCAGCAACATAGGTGAGTCTGGAGCCAGCCTGGCCTAGAAGCCCCAACCTCCACACAGGAATCGATATTTATGAAAGCCCCATGAGTTTCCAGAGGTCTCAGCAGGGGGCGTGCTCTGTGACAAAATGCAGCACTTTGCGGGAAGCCCAAAGCCATGGCCAGCTACTCCTGATTCACCCCAAGTCCTCCCAGCCCAGAGGACTTTGTCAATCAGGGTCACTTTTTATAAGCAGTGTTGCTTGATAAGACAGCCAGCATCCCACCTTTATCATATTTCCATAGAAAAGTGGGAGACAGTTTACCTTTGTCCCCAGAAGATACGGCTCTTGTCACCCCTTCACTCGCACTCACAGGCACCCAGCAGCACGGGCCTCCCTGTCCCCCAGTGTCCAGAGCATGCCCCCCGTCCGGGCTGTCCACCCTGATGCTCAGAAGAGAACCCCGCGCCGGGCCCAGCGTCTCCTCCAGGCTGGTCCCTGCTCAACTCCCACTCTGGGCTTGGCAGGTGAGAAGATGTTCCAGATCGACAGTGGGAGGAATGCACCCCTACACTCACCACCCTCAGAACACTACACCATCATCTTCAACACCTTCGTCATGATGCAGCTCTTCAACGAGATCAATGCCCGCAAAATCCACGGCGAGCGCAATGTGTTTGATGGAATCTTCCGGAACCCCATCTTCTGCACCATCGTGCTGGGCACCTTTGCCATCCAGGTAGCCAGGCTGCCACCCTAACCTGGGCCCGGGTGGTCAGTGGGCAGCTGGAGCCCCGCCACAGTGCCCTGAGAGGCCGGGCCTCTGAGCTGGCCCCCGATGACCTGTCTCTCCGTCTCTGTCTCTGCTCCCTTTCACCTCCAGATAGTGATCGTGCAGTTTGGGGGGAAGCCATTCAGCTGCGCTCCGCTGCAGCTGGACCAGTGGATGTGGTGCATATTCATCGGGCTAGGAGAGCTCGTCTGGGGTCAGGTAAGTTCTGGGTGGGAAACAGGAAGTTCCTCTCAGCAGGAGAAGGGAAAGAGCACTGGCCAGGGAGCCCGGGAGCCCCAGGAATGGGGGCCAGTTCTGCCAGGGGCTGGCATATGGCCCCAGAGAAGGTCCTCCCTTCTCTGAGTGATGGGAACTGGCCCAGGTCCCCAGTGCTTGTCATTTGGGTTCCATCACTGTGATTTTTGCCATATTTCTGGGTTACCACCAGTCTCATTATTTACTTAATATTTTCATTTAATCACATCGGGCTTTTTCATCTGAAATTTATTTTAAAAGATAACTTTATATTACTAACATGAGTACAAAATCAGTATCACTTGTCAGACATAGAAGCTAACAAAAAATAATGTAATGAGCACAATGTTACTAAACCAACTGAATGCCACGGCCCACCAGGGCTCGGAGCCTAAGGGCGGCTAGTTGTTGAAAAGGGAGGTCAGGTAGGTGGTGGCACTGACGGTGTGGAGGGGAGGTCAGTGAGAGGGGCTCAGACACCAGGCAGAGGCGCCTTCAGAGGGCTCCAAGGGAACGTAAGGGCAAACTCTGCCGCGTGGCAGAGCTGCCCAGTGCTGTGTCTGCGGCCACCTGAGATCCTCCTGGCTTTGGGGACCCCTGGGCTGGAGGCTCTGGGGAGCCCTTCCATCTATGACCCCAGAACAACTCCCACCGGTTCCCTTTCCCACCGTTGCCCAAGTCGCCAAGGCTTGAGCGCACACACCCATCACCGTGCTCCCAATGTGCAGCTCAGAGGCCCTTGTCCAGGGAGTGGTGCTTTCGAGACGTGCCCCAAGCTCCTGGGCCTGGCCAAAGGGCTCGTCCCAAGGGGCCCTGTCACCCAGGCAGGGGCCCAGTGGGCCCGAGACCATGTTCTTGCCTCCAGGCTGTTCCCAAGCTTGAGTGAAACACTCCAGTGACAGAGATTGACTAGACGATAAAGGAGAAAGTTCAGTTTCACCCCAAAGAAACTTCTTTAAATTTGGGGGCTTCTTTGGAGAGTTGATAAACTGGATTTGACTTAATCATCCCATTTCTGGGGCACCAAAGCCCACACCCTTAGAGAGCTCAAGCTCTCTGAGCGTGCAGACTCCTCACACCTAAGGACACTGCCAGCAGGCAGTGCCCACCGTAGACCCCAGGGAATCCCTGGGACTGGGTGTCCAGGCCAGCCCCTGACCGTCCCTGCAGGGGACGCAAGGGGCCTTTGATCTCTGGCACCTCCGCTTCCCCATGGTGCCTGCCTCCCAAGCCTCAGCCCCATGGACAAACCCCTTGGAGGAAAAGTAAGAATGAAGGTGCTCCCTCTTCCCATGTTGCCTCCCCTTTTGGGGAAGGCACCCATTCCCAGAGTCCCTGAATTGGCTCTCCCCAAGGCACGCGGGCCTGAGCCCCTGTTGCTCAGGATGGGGACCCAGGACCTAGTGACCTCAGGAGTGAGCCCAGAAGCTCGAGGCCTAGGCAGGCTCACACACGGCAACTGAGACACGCCGTCTCACTTACCCTCCAGCCCTGAGAACTGACCTCAGAGGGGTTAAATGACTTGCCCAAGGTCACGTGACCAGTGCGGTCTGGAGTATTCAAAGTCACATCTGCCCAACTCCTGAAAGCGAAGATTTTCCACTGTGTCCCCCTGACTCTGAATGAGGGAGTGAATGAAAAAGCAAATTAATAAGAGATTTAAAGATTGGATTGGGAGAAGTTAAGGAGCGAGTTGGACATGTAACCAGGTAATTGGGTCAGCGGAGGGGCAGGTAGGGAGGGAAGGAGGCTTCCTGAGGGACCGCCCCCACTGCCCTGACATTGCTGGGTCCCCTGCAGGTCATTGCCACCATCCCGACCAGCAGGCTCAAGTTCCTCAAGGAGGCAGGCAGGCTCACGCAGAAGGAGGAGATTCCGGAGGAGGAGCTCAATGAGGACGTGGAAGAGATAGACCACGCTGAGCGAGAGCTGCGGCGGGGCCAGATCCTATGGTTCCGAGGCCTGAATCGGATCCAAACCCAGGTACAGGAGGCTCCCAGGGCTGGGCCCACACCTGGCCCTGTGGGCAGATGAGGGAGACGTGCGTGCTCCATACCACCTCCCAGGGCCACACAGGCCGGGGTCCAGACCTGCTCTCGCCATCTCACTGACTTCTTACACACCTGCCTTCCTCACACGCACTCCCGAGCAGCCACTAAAGAAGCAGTGGCCTCCTCAGGAACGTTCCACCTCACCCACTTGGCCAGCAAGGGGTCAGACAGGGGCCCGGGGGATTGCCCCTGAGAGCAGGGGAGGGGCTGACCCTGACAGCTGAGGTGAATCAGGGACTCTAGTCAGGGGGGACTGGAATCAGAGCCACAGGGCCGCTACCAGGAGGGGCAGCGCAAGGCTAGAGGCTGGGCCCTGTGAGGCTAGGATGGCGGCTTTGGGCCAGGGTTGGCCCCAGATTTGGCCCCAGATTCTCCCGGGGTCAGGGACCAGCCTGTGAGGCCCAGGGGCTCACACACATTTGCACCCGTCCTCTTCCTCCACAGTGGGCTTCGGGTTTCAAGGCAGCTCTGGGGAGCAAAGCTTGGTTTTCCCCACGTGTATATGTGTACAGACGCACACCTATACACCAAAGACCCCTGCAGACGCACATCCGGCCAGAGGCAGGTTTCCGCCCCAGCACAGAGACCGCGTGGCTGCCGCGCACCACATGCACGACCGGGCAGCGCGCCCACCACACGCTGCGGGCTCTCACAGGAGCCAGCACCTCCGCCGAGGTGGGGGTTGTAGTTTATATCATGCTTTCACAGCCTCCTGAAATGGGGAGTAGAAGGGTCTGTAAGAGAGGGTCAGTCCCTTCCCCAGACCACCTGAGAGAGCTGTGTCTGGCAAGTTCATGGCCTCCCAATGCCCATCACACTCTGGGAAGTTGCAGAGCCCCCACCTCCATCCTGCCTGGTGGCCCAGCACTTCATTTAACAAGCATAACAAATAATAGGTCACCTGGGCTGCCTCCCACCCACAGTGTGCTGTCCCAGGCATCACCTCATTGGCCTCCTCCGCCCCCTGAGAGATAGGTATGCCTCCTCCAGTTTCAGAGGTAACTGAGGTTCAAGAGACAGCCCTTTCCAAAAGCGGGGGTTGGGGGCAGAGGTGGGTTTCAGACCCAGAGCCACCTGACGCAGCCTGGGCTCTCCGCCCTGGCAAGAACCCGGCACCCAGCCTCCCAGGGCAGCTCTCAGTGCACGTGGCCCTGGTGCTGTCACTGACCCAGCCCACAGCCTTTCGGAGGTCTCCAGATTGCAGGACACCAGGACTGTGGTATCTTGAGTGGACACAAGTGCCTATCCAGCCTGGCTCTTATACCAGTGTGGGCCAGGTGCTTTGCCACTCACAGATAACCCTGCCAGGTAGGTGGCATTGCCCCTTCTGAAGGACAAGAAACTGCACTCAAGCACCTAGCTCATAAGTGGCATGGCCAAGGTCTGTCCACACAGAGCCCCCTCCATGCCACTCAGGCTCCACACCCGGCCCCAAGTGGGGCTGAGCACCCCTCTTGCTTCCAAACTCCATGTTTCATCACCCCCAGCCCAGCCTACTGGCCCCTGCGCCAGTAGGGCAGAACAAAGGCCGAGCCCCGTGTCCCCCCAGGGACCCCGGGGCCTACAGATGGGCCCGGAACTGAGCAGACGCCTGTCAGAGCCTTGGAGTGTGTCTGGTACTTTTTGTTTTGGTTTCAGTGACATTGTCGTTGTTGCCGTGGCTGCGGCTGTTCTCGTGGCATTGCGCCTGTCAGTCGTGTAGCTGTTCTGTTCGTTCTCCTCGCAACTTGTCTCGTTCTCTCCTCCGTTGCAGATTGAAGTAGTCAATACTTTCAAGAGCGGGGCCTCCTTTCAGGGGGCCCTGCGGAGACAGTCCTCCGTCACCAGCCAGAGCCAGGACGTAGCCAATCTCTCTAGCCCTAGTCACGTGTCGTTGTCCAATGCTCTTTCCTCTCCGACCAGCCTTCCTCCTGCTGCAGCTGGGCGTGAGTGTGAATCCTTCCCGCCTCAGGCGCCTCTGACAGCGCCGGGCGGGCTGGCGGGCAGGGGCCGGGGCGCCAAGGACAGGGTGGGCAGCCGGTCACAATTAGGCCTGGGGGCTGAGGGGCCACAGTCGGTCAGGCAACCACAGTCAGCCATGGGGTGGCAGTCTCTTGGTGGGCCAGGGTTGGCTGGGGTCAGAGTCAGGGGTTACAACCAGTCAGTCAGGGGGTCGTGAAGGTCGAAAGTGGTCAAAAAGTCGGGGTCAGTCAAAGGGTCACTATCAGTCAGGGAGGTTTCAGTAATTAAATGTCCCAGCGCACTACAAGGTCGCAGCAGCCAAGGGGGAGCAGTCAGCCACAGGGCACAGGGTGTCGCAGTCAGTCTGGGGTCATACTCAGTCACAAAAAGCCTGGCCACAAGGACAAGGGTCAAAGTTGGCCAGGAGGTCACAGTCTGCAGTCAAAGTCAGCAAAGGGTTACCATGGGTCAAGGTTCTCGGGGTCACAGTCAGTCACAGTAGGGTCCAACCAAGAGAGGGGTCACTGTAGGTCAGAGGTCACAGCCAATCTGGGGTCCCCAAGGAGATCACAGCCTGGAGGCCCTGCGCCCAGTGGTTCAGAACCCTCTGCCCTCTCTCCTTGCACACCTAGCAGCATCAGCTGCCTTACACACACTTTTCCCTGAACACTAAAGGTCTGACCTCTTCCTAGAAGGGACAGGGCCCCTAACCCATTAAGCTTGACCCCAGGTAGAACGCAGTGGGCTAGGCTTCACATCTTGGCTAGGTGCCAGAAGGCCCTAAGGGATCTGGTCTGACCCTGGGCTTCCTGCGTTCCTCACCTGAGAGCGAGCCCGGGCCCTGACCCCTGACCCCTCCATCCTCTCCCTGCTGCGAGCTCATCTCCTCAGACCACCTCTTCTGACCTGGGTCTCTCATCTCCGGCCTTGTCTAGATCCTTCTGGACCCCTGTGGCTTCAGGTCCCTGAGGGAATAAGAAGTCTCTATTTACTACCCGCCTCCCTTTCCTCGTCTCCAGTCAGCCCCTTGTAAACAGCAAGGGAGCCCATTCTGGGCCTCTCAGATCGCACAGTGCACTCACTTAGCCAGCCCTTGGGCCTCTTTGAGGAGGAACAGACTCCAGACCTCATCTCTTGATGCTCTATCAGGTGCCTCCACCCAAACATAAAACACAGTAACACACGTCCCCAGCCGCTGAGAGAGGAGGGCCTGTGTGCTGGGTGGGACCCACTCCATCCGGGCCCTCTGGCAGGGGGCACACGGCACAAAGAGCCTGCTGGTGGCGTGTGCTCACATCCCATGACCTTCCAGCGGATGCGGTCCTGCCAGGCATGCAGGACGAGAGGAAGCCCTCAGGAAAGGTGGGGAAGCCCCTCCTTGTTCATTCATTAGCACAAAGCCACAGTGACAGGGAAGCCAGACTAGCCAAGGAGAAGTGCATGTGCATCTGAGCAGATGGCGTCCAGAGTCACATATCCATGAGGCGTCACTAGGAAATCACTGCCAGGCTTTCTCAGGGCAGGAAGCACTTTACTCCCATCCTCTCCCCTTCACATCAGAGAGACCTCACCTTGGTGGGAGGCCCTCACTCAGCTGGCCTACTTCTGCATCAGCGCCACTCTGGCCTTGCCCAGTGACACCACCTGTCCCACACAGCGACCAAAAGTGTTCTGTCCTGGAGAGCCACTTGGGAAAGAATCTGTTCCTTCTGGCTCCTGCCACCCTGCTGGTGACACCTGCACCCTGCACCCCTCCAGCTGGGTCTGACCCCGGAAATCTAGCTTCTGAGCACACACTTATTTCTTTGTCCCGTCTTGGTTCGGCCTCCTTCTTGAAGCGTGGCACCTTACAGTGGCCACAAGAGAGCCAGCCTGGCATTCCTGCCTCAGACCCTTTGTGAGTCTTCCCTCAGTCCGTCCCCTCCTCTTAGCTTCCGCAGTCTAGGAGAAAGAGCTCCGTCGTCTCAGACCTTGGCAACTGAATTCTCGTCTGTTCTTCTGTCATGTATAAAACCGTTCGATAAGAATGGTCCCGGGACAGTCAGCTCTTAGCACATCTTCAGAGAAATGCCCATTTTTGTCCATACTTCACTTCCTATCTCTAAGCTGACCTCCTTCCAGGCCAGATTGATCCCCTTTATCCCATGGTGACCCCAACTTTGGAACAGCCATAGAAAAGGAACCCGTGGGCCTGGGCCCTTCATTCTCTCAAAGGACCCAAAGGGGCTGGTCAGGTTCAGCTCCCTCCCCCTACCCCCAGCCACCACCTTGCCTCTCTTCCAAGAATCACGCCTTCCTAAGAATCTTACATTCCTACCCTCTATAGTAGACTCAGCCGATATCCCGGGTCCCTCCTTGGACCCTTTCTTTGGCTTATGGTCTCAAGAAGAGCCTGGCTGTCCCCCTGCCCAAGGGTACTGGTGCCAAAGGGATCACAGCCTCTGTGGTTTCAACACACACGTTTTAGTCAACACAGTCGCAATGCAAACTCTCAATAAATATCTCCTCCTTCCTCTTTTGCTGAAATAGTTTTGAAATAACGTCACATCCTCTGGTCTACAGTCACTCCAAGAGCCCTCTAGATAATAAGCAGGGTCCCTTCAGAAGCCAAAAGTCTTTCTTCCCACAGGGAGGTGTGAAGCAAGTAGCCAGGAAGTAAGATTCGGTGAGATGGGCTGCCTCCCGCGTCTGAGCAGGGTCTTCCTCCGGGGTGTTCTCTAGCAGAGGAGGGTGGCCATGTGCATGCTGAGTCAAAACACCTGGGGTCTTTGTGCTCTGAAAGGAGTCAAACCACCGTCCCCTGGTTTATCAAGAGCCGGCCACAAAGGCCAGGGACTGGCCAGTGTGTGCTTGGGCTGACTTCTGACTCATGACACTGTGGTGAGGAAACCCACCACCACATCACACGTCCCTCCCCCAGCACCACTGTGACATGGGGGGGGGCCCAAGCAGGCAAATGCATGTGATGAGAGACCAGTCCTATCAGACTGGCATCTGGATTGTTCGGGCGGGAACTCTGGCCTGCTCTCTTACTTTCCTTTTCTGACTTACTCAAAAACAAGTTTGTTTTTCCCCCAGAAACTTAATAACACACCCCTAATGCCTTATACTTGAGTCTCATTCAACATCTTCCCAAGCAGGTGCCTACATCCTTCACTTCATATATGCCTCACAACTGAAATAAGAGGAGGGGGGATCTGCCAATACAGCCATTTAACTAAAACAGACACTGAGGCTCAGAGAAGTAGACTGACTTGCCCAAGATCACACAGCAAGTGAGGGGCAAGAGGTTAGATTGCAAAGTTCCTTGTTCTCCCCACCATTCCATACCACTTCCTAGATAGGCCCGCAGATCCGGAACCCACAGAGGTTAGCTCTCCATTCCGGAACCAGTGCCCACACCCACAGCCTCATCCAGCAAAAGAGCACCAATCCTCTGGGGTCGAGACCAGGGAGGTTGTTTCTCTGCTTTTGAATCTCACCAGCCTGGCAGGGATGGGGAGAAGGGCACCTTCCCCCTGGTGATTAAGGACAAAATCAGCATTCGGCTCTTTGATCCGAGGCCAAGCTGCACAGCCCTTCTGCCTTATTCCCCTCAAATTCCTATCCCATCTCCAGCCAGCTTTGTACTTAGCAAGTTTGTAGCAGGTTCCATGTTCATCTGTGAGAGTCCTGCTCCTTCAAAGCAACCAGGCTATGCACATCAGACGCCTATGCCCAGGACCAGCCACTTTCTGGACTCTGCCCACTAGACAGGGCCTATCCTGCTCCCATGTCCCCTTCAGACTCTGGGATCTGAGGACCACGAGGGCAGGACTGTGCCTCTTTTAGGGGGAGGAGTGAAGGAAAGGAAAGCTGGACCTCTCAGTAGCATGTTGGTACACAGTTCAGTGCAGTCTTGGGTTGTTAAGAAAAACGGCTTGCTTCTGGGGTGGGGGGGGCCCTAGACCTCTCTGCTTTCTGAATATTCCGTGTGTTTGTTTCCCTAGAGGGCTAGAGAACCCTGGACACAGAGTTCAGCAAGAGAGAGTGAAATTAAAAGAGGTTGTGAGTCTTTAACCTTGAGCCTGAAATGAATGTGAATCAATCCCAGACTCTTGGCTTCCTTGAAGCCGGGTAAACATTCGAGTATGTTGAACCATCCCAGACGGGGCCTCTGCATTTCCTCAGAGCCCTCCACAACATGCACGGGCCTCTTGCTCCCTTTGTGCCGATGAAACCAAAACTCCTGAGACCTCTCTTTCCCTGCACCCCAGGCCCAAATGCGGCTGACACCACAGCGCCCCCTATCAGGTTAGGCAGGGAGGACAGATGGAAGAGTATTTTTTCTTCCCATATTTTTTTCCATTTCAGCTGTGAAGAGAATTGAAGTGGAGACTTGAGATGGCCGTGGCGGGTGTCCCGAAAAGTCTTGTCCCCACAGTCTTGTCCAGAGCAGTTCATTCTTTCTGTTGTCTCCATGCCAGGGGGAGGGCAGGGGCCTGCATCTCATTGTGTGTCATCCCCTCTGCGTTGTCAGTCACACGACAGGGTCCTGCTACCATCCCTCCGCCTCCACCAGGCACTCCTACTGGCATCTTACTGCAGTTCAGCCTCAGAACATTCTGGGCACTAGGCCAGGCAGCTACTATGATAATTAATATTCCCATTTTACAGGTAAGAAAGCTGAGGTCAGCAACACCTTTTTTGCTGTTTTCACTTATTCAAGTGTAATGGCCCACTACTGATCAGGAGCTCAGAATACATAATAATTTCTACAGACCCACAAATAGGGAATCCAGGGAGAGGTAGCCCAATGGCTATCAAGGAGCACCAGCACAAAGGTACAGCCTCTGGCTGGCTCTCACTTGGCACTTGATGCTTCTTCTTTAAATCATGATTCCAACAGGCAGGAGAGGGACAGAGATGCTTTTAAGAAGACAAGGAAAAGTCAGAACTGGTAAGTGAGGGCTGACAGCAAAGGAGAAGAACTTTTGAAAAGAAATAAAAACTATGGGATCTTATACAAGACCATAAAGATTCTTGAGAAAGTTCAGTTCTTCTCGGTGTACTCTACGTTTAAAAAGAGAGGAGCACAGGGTATGCTTCAGAAAGACCCCCCTCCCTCAAATAATAGAATAAACCCTGAGCTATGACTTAAAATCATCAGCCACGGTCATCAAGGAATTCATTTTCATGGACAGGCTTTTGCCCCTGTGCCCCCACAATGAACTGCCCTGGGTTTACTGCAAGTTCCACAAATCCTGGGACCACAGGGCCTCCTCCTGTCCTCTGCCCCTCCCAGGCCCATGGGGTGGGGGCAGGCACAGTTCTGCAGGGAAGGCCATGCAGGGCGCCCGGAGGGCCACAGCCACCTCGGCTGAGTCTCTGCTCCTTGGAGGCACCAATGCTGCCTCGTTCCCCCTCCAGTGGCTCTGCTGTGAGGTGGGGCTGGGAAAAGAGAAGGAAGCACCTTTGACCTAAGTCCCCTGAACTCCTTGAGATGACAGTCATAGCCCACCCCTTCCTAGGTGTCCAGAGGAGTGACCCCCCTCTTCAGAGGGAGGTTCCTGTTCCTCTGCACCGTGCAAGGCAGGACAGAGGTTGGCCAGTGAGGGAGTGCAGCTCGCCCACTGTCAAGGCACCAGAAGCAGCAGTGCCGGGCCTCAGACTTGAGTCTCCCTGACTCCAAGTCCAGTGCCCTTTCCTCCAGCCCAGAAGACACAATGCTCCACCTCCTTCCATTCTTCAGAGAAGCACAGGTTCCAACTGAAACGCAGAAAAAGGAAAGAACTTGTTGTTTTTAGTTCAATTCCACACCCTGAGGACCCCACCCAAGGCTGGGTTGGGCCGTCTGATTCTGGCCTCATTTTTTGGTTTTGTATTTTCAAAGCACAAATAAAGAAATCAAATACCCCAGGAAATCAGGGACCCCAAAACCAACCGCGATGACTGGCCAGGGCTTTGAGTCAATACTCGAGTGTTTACCTCCCAAATGCATGAAGGAAAGAAACGTTGGGTACAAACGACCTCCGTTCACATTGTCCAGGCTTCCAAGTATAGCGTATGTCTGTCTGTGTGTGCCGTGTGGTTCCCAACCCCACCGTGGCATGCTCCCTCTCCTGAATGTCACAGTGCGCCAGCTCCTTCGTGCTTTCTGGCTGCCTCTGCTCTGCACCCCAGAAAGCCCTGAGTTGGCTTTGGTTTGGTTTGCTTTGCTGCCTTTGATTTGAAGTTCTTGTTCTCTGTTTGGCCCTCGTGTGTCTTCTCTCATCCCAGTCCATCCATCTGTCTCTCTTTTCTGTTGCTTTTCTGTCTATGACATGTTATCTGTTCCATGTAGTATGGTTTCTTAACTGCGTGTGGTTTTTCTTTAAGATTAATTTATTAAGAAATAGCCTCTCCTCCTTCCTATTCTGTTCCCACCTGGCCCCATTCCCCTTTTGCATGGTTGAACCTGCTTTAAAGTTAACAAGGCTCAGTCTCTCCCTAGGTCGGGTGCCCACTGGAGTGGACTCTGCTTCCTTTGACCACTGTCTCCCATCTTTTTGATGAGGCTCGATTCCTCCTGTCCTAATTTTGGAGTTTTGAGTAAAACCAAAGCAATGTTAAAAACCTCATGGATGCACATAACCTGAGCCCTCTTCCAATCTTCCCCTTCCCACCCATGCTCATGACACCCAGCGACCATGGATTCTAGCCACCTGCTGAGCCCTAACCCCTCTCCCACCTGACCCTCCTTCAGCCCCCCAGAGCTTGGCGCGCACGTGCACACACACACACACACACACACACACACACACACACACACACCAGGGTATTGCTCTCACTCCTGCTCTTCCCTTACAGATCCGCGTCGTGAAGGCGTTCCGTAGCTCTCTCTATGAAGGTCTAGAAAAGCCTGAGTCTCGAACCTCCATCCATAACTTCATGGCTCACCCTGAATTCCGGATCGAAGATTCACAGCCCCACATCCCCCTCATTGACGACACTGACCTGGAAGAAGATGCCGCACTCAAGCAGAACTCGAGCCCGCCGTCATCGCTCAACAAGAACAACAGCGCCATTGACAGCGGGATCAACCTGACGACCGACACAAGCAAATCAGCTACCTCTTCAAGTCCAGGGAGCCCCATCCACAGCCTGGAGACGTCGCTTTAGCTGAGGACCCCGCCGCCACCCACCTCCCGGGCACCCGCCCATCCAGGCACCCGACTCACTCAAGCAGCAACGAGCAACAACAGGAAACCAAATACTGGCGAAAACCGTTTCCACCCAACAGACCCTTTTTCTGGCTGCGATGCTGTTTGAACTCTTTTTCACTTTGAGGCTAGGGGCGGGATCTCCTCCCGGGGCTTCAGGGAGTGAGTGATTTCCCCAGAACAAGCCCTTCCTGGCTCCTGCCCACACATGGACCAGCCATGCACCCGCCCAGCCGCCATGTCCCCTGCATGAATGTACTGTACACTTCCAGTCCTCCCCTTGTTTGGTTTTGGGGGGTTGGGGAGGGTTTTTTGTTTGTTTTCTTAGGCGGGAACTGCAAACAGACTTTTCTGAGACTATTTATCCAATTCACTGGTCTGTGAGTTTTTGAAATGCTTGCAAAGCATGGTCTCAGTTGTATAGGTTAATTTAACAACTTTTTGAAATTGCAGAGCTTAACTCGCCTAGTAGATTTGCACCAATGGAACCGAAGAACTTCATAGACACTCACAAGGTTATATCCATTTCTTTATATCTATATCAACGTATACTTATTCAAGACTGTATACGTCCATATAGATAGGTAGATATATATATATATATAAATATATATACATGGATATATAAAGTTTCTTTGCCGGCATGTTGCCTTGTTTCCGCTTAAATTGCTCTATTTTAACTTATTTATGTCCTAAAAGAAGAATGTAATTTGTTTACAAACCTGTAGATAACGTCTTTGGCTATTTGTACGGTTTAAGAACTCTGGTGGTTGAGATGCTGCAAAAACAGCTCAGCCCAACAGACACTTCCCTGGATTGCATCCTTGATGTTTTACAATAGCCATGCTCTGGTTTTTGCCTGCTATTTCTGTTCAATAACGTCACTACCATGAGAGGCTCAGGCAGAAGCCAAATGCTACCAGGTCTCCAACCTGAGGGGTTTAACACCATGCTCCGTAGACAAAGGGAGAGGAGAGAGAAGGCTTCCTGGGCTTGGAACCCCAAAGGCCATCCTGGTCCAGAGATGATGGGATTCACAAAGCAGTGGGTGAAGACTTTTCTCTCAATGAAACTCACTTGGGTTTACTAAGAGCATTTCAAAAAGAGGTTCTCTTTGGCACTGTCTGTATAGAGATTGAGGTAGTGTTGTAATATTATAAATGCTATTGTGTTGATTTTTTAGTTAGTAATTTAGAGGTTTATTTCCTTATAAATTGCAGCATATGAGCTGTTGGCATATTGGATGAGGATCGTTATGGCTTGCTGCTTTTATTTTTATTTTCAAAGAAGAATAGCCTTTTTCTCTGCACTATTTAGATCCGAACAAACCTTATGATGTGTATATTGAGATGTATTCAGTGTGATTTTTAAACCAAATTGTCTTCCTGTAGTCGCAATATATACTGTAGCCTTTTAACAGCAAGTCTTGCTTTCCCAACAGAAAGCCATTCTGAAACCCTACAGTATCACAGGTGAGAAAAGGAGGTTATTTTTCCCTCAAGACAATTACAGCACTAGTAATCCCACTTAATAAGAGCTTATTTAATTGTATGTCAGCCTCTTAACTGCTAAGCACTTTGTGGGTATCAGCTTTTTTCATAAAAGAACTTTTGTATTTAATACAAAGTTTGCTTTGAGACTTTTCAGCATACAATCTTTTTCCATAAAATTGTACAGTGCAAAAGACATTTTAATACCATGATCAATGACGTCCCATGCTTCAAGGAAAACCAAACACTTTCCGCCTCGCTTGTGAAATTCATCCTCATACTGACCCTTCCCACGGTTGCTCTGTGTCAGCCCCGCCCCTTCCCTTCTCCGGGCCCAGAAAACTCTTCCACACACAAGATGAGAGCCACTCGGGAAAAGAGCCATAGTCAGCTGGGAGGGCCTACATCTGGATGGCTGTGGAGAAACCTAAGGGTTTGGAATCCCAAGTCAGCCCATCCCACCTGGCAAAACCTTCCTGGAAGGAGGACCTTCTTTGCGCAAGAGCATCACCTGAATGTCATGAAGAAACCTTTCCAAATGTACCGAGCAGAGGAAACTGCATCCCCAAAGGGGTGACCAGCCATCAGATAGGCTTATTGGATTCCAGTACAACACCACCAAAAGCCAGCCCACTGCTCTCCTGCCTGCCAAGAATGGAAAGACCTGCACGTGGGAATCATGGGGCAGCCTTGGAACATGGTGGTTGTGATTTTTTTTGTAGTTTCCTTTCTCAAGGTTTTCCATCTTCCCCCTTCTTTGTTCCCATCTTGTGTCCCTGACCTCATTCCATGACACCAGGAAACTTGTCCTTGCACACTATGCTCCCTGTTTACTTGGAGCCAGGATGCAGGGAAAAGAGGAGATTCTCTGGATCACAGCTTGGAGAACAGGGAGTGATGGGAGCTACCAAGAATGCCTCACATTAGTGTTGGTCTTTTCTTGTCAGGATCAGTGGATGCTCACACACACACACACGCACACAGGCACACACATCCACACACACAGGAAATGATTGGTTTGTCAAAAGTCACTGTAGTACATAAAGCTTGCACTCTGTGTCCTATATCTAGCAGCATGGGGTACGTTTGGCAGTTCACCCCATTAGGGGGTAAATAATTTATGACCATTCATCTGTTTTTACGAATTTTTTTATCTAGACAATAATTGTAAATAAAGAACTCACCGTCTCTGTTCATTTAATACTATGCAATGCTTTCAATTGCTGATTCTTCTTACTCCCACAGTGTGGTTCTGAAATGTTTGTGGTTTAAAAAAAAAGAAGGCAAGAAACCCACATCAAGCAGAACACAGTAAATATACATTCTGTAACTAATCCTTTTTTGGGACCTCACCATCCACTTAGCTTCTTTCCTGTCCTCTGAACCAGGCCTGCAGGAGAAGGTTGCAGATTCAGTTCTGATATCTAAGCTCACTAACTTGTCTCCCTCGACAGATGAGGGATGAGCAGAGGGCCCACTCAGTGACCACTGTGGCTGTAGAATCACCCACCTTTGGAGGCGGGCAGGAAGGAAACTGAGGAGTTTCCTCCCTGCAGCTCAGTCAGCACTTTTCCTGACTCAGAAGCAGCCTTCATTGCACCCACCAACCCATCACCATGGCCCTTTGCCCCCTTGTGCCAACCAGAACATAGAATTGGCAAGAGGGAGGGTGCCCTGCTTCTGAGACCAGACCAAGGACAATGACTGCAGTGGCACAAGGACTCTGGACCTGTCTTATCCTGGGTATCCCAGTTAATGAATAGCCACTCTTTTCCCCAACTATGTTGAAATGTCATCTTTACCACACACTGACAGCTGAGACAGGCTTGGGTCTATTTCTGGAATTTCTCTTATGTTCTCTTTCTGGGTGTCTCATCTGGCACCAGCCACACAGTTTTAATTATTGTTGGTTTATATAATGTTTTTACGATGTGGTGGGATAAGTACCCTTCACTCTTTTTTGAATCAAAATTTCCAGGTTATTCTCTCATATCTATTCTTCCCAGTAAACCTTAAAATTTTGCAAGTACTCCACCCACCTGAAATACTGAGCTCTGTCATTCTGTGTGCAAACATATTCCAGCCATTGTTAAGTACTGTCCACTCAGGGTCACTAGAGTGTCCTGTAATGAGAAACAAAAGGGCATCCTGAATCTTGAGGGAAGCCCAGCATTCATTTCATACTCTCACTTGCTCCCTAAGCCAGGGTATCATTAGGAGAGGCCATCAACCCCTCCCCACAACCCCAGTTTGGGACCCCAAATCACCTACCTTGGTTGTGCTAGGGTGGATCCTTCATCTGCCCTGGTCCAGACAAGAAAGAAGGGTCTCTCCCAGACCTGGAGCTACCAGAATGTGTGGCTCAATTGTTTATTTCTAATTCTCCTTATGGAGAAATTATTATTTCTGTCTCCCTTTCCTGAACTGCTTTTTTTTCTCTCTCTCTAAAACTCTTTAAAGTTTTCAGCGGTTGTGTGATACGTCCTTTGGGATGCAGCAATTTCTTGCCTGGATCTTCTCACCACCCTGACTCCCCCTACCTGCTCTTGCTCTTCTTACAGGAGGCTGTCAACTGGGCTCACTGTGACATGCCTCCCATCCAAAACTCTCTCCATAGTGTCCAAGACCCCACCATTAGAAGACCGGGAGGGAAGGTGCATTTTTTTGAAGGCTTTTCGGTCTTCCAGAGCCAAGGCCTAAATCAGACAACAGCAGAAAATCCCCTGGTCCTTCCCAAGTTCCAAAGCAAGCCCTCTTGATTTTGATGTAGACATCCTATTTCCCCAATTCAGGGGAGGGGTATCCTAAGCCCTGGGTATCAGCCATCACCCCCTCCACTGAAATGAGATATCTGAGGCTGCTTTGGGACTACCCTTCTCAGCCCCCTACGTCTGTTTTGTAATGCCTGTGGTGCTCTCCCTCCGAACCTTTCCTCTCGGGGGGTCGCCACACTTTGCTAACTCTCGTGTGCACATATTTTATAACAGAGTAGTGAGGAAATGGTGCCGCCTCCAGCTTCCACAAGCTGCCCAGGCTCTGGGGGGTTCTGGGACAATCGGGGCTGGGAAGTGACTGTGCTCTTATTGTACACTCTTTATTTCTCTGTATCTCTGGCTTGTGCTTTTTGTAATTAATGGGATTTGTCTGCCTTTTCAACACTATACTGAGCAATAACAATAAATGCACACGTGGAAACGCAGACACGCTACACATCACAAGGCCTTTTTCCGAAGGACAAGCTGGGTCCCTGCCCTCGTGGATCGGAATTAAGGGGGACACTGAGTCCCTGGGAGGGGAAGGCACTTTGCCCAGGGGTTCGCAGCGCAGTGGGTGGTCTCTCTCCTTCACGCAAGTCACACCTTTCCAACATCCATCATTTAAGGGAAATAAGTTTAACCTTCCATGGGGAACAGCTGACAGTCTCAGTGAGCAAGACCTTAGGAGAAGAGGCCTAAGGAGGGAGGAGGAGGAGGAGAGCCAGAGGCTAGACACAGGTGGCAAATACAAGGCCCATGGGCCGAACCTGGCCCTCCGCCTTGTTTTATCCCACCCGGCACCTTGTTTCTACCCAGTGGCAACACCGAGCTCCTTGCCTCTAGTTAAGGAGTAGTTACATTTATACAGTCCTTAAGTTACATTTGGCCCTTTGAAGGCAACCTTGAAGCTGATGTGGACCCCAGTGAAAATGAGCTTGACACTCCTGGGCTAGCAACTCTGGGAGGTAGGGACACAAACTGGGGAAAGCTAAGAATGGCCTGATTTGGGGTCTGCTACTAACCAGAGGGAAGTGATGGAAGATACGGACAAAAGATGTAGGTGGCGTCTCCTATTTGGGAAGGGCAAGACAGAGAGGAGCCTGGCACCCTAAATCCCAATGTTGGTCCAATGGCTGAGGGCAGCACACGCACACACCACACACATACTAAATCCCAGCTTTTCTCAGGGAGAACTGATACCCAAATCAAGCACCATAGACCCATCTAATTTCCAAACAGTTTCACATCCAGGACCCATTTAATCCTAACGTCAACTTCAGAGGAAGTAGTTATTGTAATTTCCACTTAACAGGAGACAGTAGCACAGAGAGGTAAAGGGTGTGCCCACAGAGTAAGGAGATAGAGTAGATACCTAGCAGTGTTTATGCCAGAATTGGCCCTCAAAACCTCTGTACCATGCCTTTCAGTCCCACCAGCAAATACCTTAATGAATAAGACAGTTCCATCACTTGTCCCAAATCCCCAATCTCTCCAACTTCAATGCCTACACCAGGGAGTTCCTTTAATAACAACTATGGCCCTTGTGCATTATATTTGTATGACATCTAATATGCCATTGTCCACATTTTTCACTCAAGAAAAACAAGGGTTGGAGAGAAGGACATGACCTTATTACCCAGAGGATCAGTGGTGCAAGTACAGATCCAAGCCCAGGGCCTGTCCCTTGAAAAACAGGAGAGCCAAGAGCCTTGCCTGATTTGTTCTCTGTTCCACCTTAAGCACCACCCCCTCACACCCCTGCACCCCTGCAGTATTTCTCCATTAGAGGAAAATAAGGAGTCTTGAAAGCTAGGGTGGGGGTCAGAGGGTAGTTGCTTTCCCAGAGGCCCAGCCCTGAATTCTGTTAAGATGCACTTGCCTCTCTCCAAAGCTCCTAATGGTCTGGGTCTATCATACTCTCTGAATCTTAACATCCTCCTGCCATAATGACCATCTCCAGCTAGAGTTCTTCCCCCCAGTTTCAGGAGAAGAAACTGAGGGACTGTGACTTACCCAAGGGAAGCCTAGGCTCCACCCTAAGTCAATAAACTCCTTAACCCAAGAGAGGCCCAAGGCTGCCAGAACATAAGGGAGCCCTCAGGCTCTGTCCAGAGCACAGCGTTCTCACTGTGTTGTGGGAAGCCAGGGACCTAACGGGTGGGGAGACTGGGAGTTGGGTCCTGAGCTCTAGCTGCACAATCTTGGCTGAGATCCCTCCTTGCCTGGAGGAATCTACCTGATGGGCCAGACTCACCGGACCCCAGAACTGTGGGGATGGGGCAATTTGGAGACATGGGCCCCATGGCTTGGAGAAGGCAGGGCAAGAGGGCTCCACCTCTAGTAGTGGGCATTTCTATCCTTCTTTGCCCCTGGTCCAGCCTTGGGTTATGAGGAGGGACTAACAGCAAGGAAGCGCTAGGGCCAGTCTACCCACTACCCCCAAATGATCGTCCTTCAGTGCTCATCATGAGGCTGGTCACTCCCAGAACCGCGGAGTAATGGGTAAAGCTGTAGTTAGGAATCCTTTCTTTCGTGTAAGGATCTCTGGGGATGGGGAGGAAGGTAGGTCCGGTGAGAAGACCGGCTAGGGCTTCAAATACCAAAAGCCTTGGAAACGAGAGCCCCACTGTGGGTCCCGCGCGTTCCTCAAGGAGAGAGGAGGACCCAGACCAGGGTGTGGCGCTGTCTCTGAAAGGCACGGAACCTTTGTGCACGGAGAGCCCGTTGCTGCCCGGAGGCTCCTGCGCCGCAGCCCGGCCCGCCAACCCGGCCCCGGAAGTGAGCTGTCCGTGGCGCCGCTGGTAGCTGCCACGTCCGAGGGTAGGATCTGCCGCTGCCGCAACCATGGTAAGTGTTTGGACCGCGGACGCTGAACGGGGTTCCGGCCAGGGTCGCGCCCGTCCAGGCTTCTCGACCGTGCTAGCGTTCAAGCCCCAGGATGGGACGGTTTAGCTCCCTCCCACCGCTTCGAGGTGTGGAGGCCTCGGGCTCTCTGGGCACCTTTCCGCAGGGGGAGGTCGAAGAACCTCCCGGAAATCCGCGGAATTCGCCTTTGACGCACCTTTCGCACTTTCCTTGCCTTCTCGTCCCCCAACAGTTGAAAACAAAACCAAGAACATTGTAGGCACTACTGTACCCTGAGGCCTTAGTAAATGCCAAGCATTATTCATAATCTCAGCCTGCTAACAGCCCTGACTGTAAAGTAGGTGCTGTTATCGATACTTTACAAATAAGGAAGCATCTCGCATAGCTGGTAGGTGACGATCTGAGATTCGAACCCTCTGACCCATTCCTTAATGATGTGTGTGGAACAGTGGCCGGGGCTAGAGCCCCGAGGTATCATGAGCACTTGAGGAGACTGATATAAGGATGAGCTGAAGTCTTTGAGGGCATGGGCTCAGTTTTTAAAATCTGGAGTCCACAGTGTGCATTCACCCCACACTTACTGAGTGAATGACTGAATGGGAACTAAGGGATGAAAAGCATCTATTCTCGGCCTGGCACAGAGTGGAGGTTCAGTAAACTAATGCTCTCAGGAACGTGTGTGTGCATGGAGTTCTGAGGAAACTTGGGTAAACCCAGATATTGGGACACCGGGTTTAGTTCTTGCTTTGCATGAGGGATAGGTTTTAAATTACTCATCTCTTAGCCTCTGATTCTTCAGCTGCTAAGAACTGGTGACTCCTATGCTCTAACAGGCATCTTATTCTAAATGAATTTTTAACTCATTAACATCCCGAAGAGTTAGTACACAGGTGGCAAACACAAGGCCCGGAGGCCTAATACGGCCCTCCACCTTGTTTTATCCGGCCCGGCACCTTGTTTCTACCAGAGCACCAAGCTCTCGCTTAACTGTTAGGGAGTAGTTACATTTATACAGTCCTAAAATTACATTCGGCCCTTTGAAGGCAACTGAGAGGCTGATGTGGCCCCCAGTGACAATGAGTTTGACACCCCTAAGCTAATATGTTTTGAGGGCTGCCACTTACTACTTAACAAGAACCAAAAAATAACTTTAGGTTCTCTGGAGGAAGGACTTTTTTTTTTTTTAAAGGAGCTTTAAAAAAAAAAAAAACTTGTCCAGAAACATGGTTCATCATAATGGCTGGTGGGTGACAGTGGTATGAAATTACCAGTAAACTTCCTGGCTTATTTAGCCCTCAGCCATTGATTTAGTGAATTCCGTGTAACTACTTTGTGTTCTAGATAGGCAGCCTAATGGTGTGGGGGTGTTGTATGGGCTGGAAGTTAGCAGGTGGAGCTCTTTTCCCAGCTCCTCCTGTTACTAGCTCTGTAACTTCAGCAAGTTCTTTCTCGCCTTTGGATTTCCTCAGTTGCTTGGTCTGTCAGACAACTCTGATGAACACTGCCCTTTGTCCTTCCCGGTGCACATGTGAAAGCACTCGGTAACCTGGCTGGCTCGGCCCCCATACGAGACTTCTTTTTATCTTCCTTGCTTGCCTTTGCAGACCTTGGGGCCCACTTTTAGGGAGGCTTGAGTTCGATGGGAGAACCTGTGCTTACTTGATGTGTGCCTTTTAAACGGCTGTGCAGCTGTCCTCTTCCACTGCCACCTTTCTGGAAGTCAAGTCAGACTTCATACCTGCAGGGTTTGTGTTGGGAAGAGATGAAATGGGGGAAATGGTAAGAAATATCAGTTCTAAACGGAAACCTTTTCAGCCCTTTTCCATCCCACGAGTTTTAAGGAAAGAGTGGTTGAGCAAAGTAAAACTGTTTTTCTTCATTTACTTATCCATTCAGCAAATAGTTGCTGAATTGAATTACTTCTGGTTACACTGTTCTGCATGATTTGAGAGGATTCACAACTGCAGACAACACAGGCCCTCGCTCCAGGAAGCGCGCCTTCTAGCTGGGAGAAGAAACAATGTAAAGTGTTGTGGACGTTTAGTGCTGCAAATGTTCAGAGGGGATAGCCAGTTGGGGGACCTGGGAATCTTCAGGAAGGGACCGGACCTTGGACTGGGCCTCGGAGAATGGGTGCAGAGGCGATGCTGTTGCAGCTGTGTGCCAGGCTGACCAGCTGCTCAACCCTGGAAACCAGCAGCGACTCTAGAATCTGTCGCAGGTTGTGGACCAGGGAGCAGCCTCAAGAGACACTTGAATAAATTCTGCAAGTCTAAGATAGTAACCTTAGTATGCAGAAAACTGCCTGGAACCTCATGGGGTCTGTTGTCCAGTTGGGGAGCACCAGGCATTCTCCCTCGGAGCACCTCTTCCCTCTCTAAGGCAGCCGGCCCTGTTCACGTCCCCCTTCTTTGCTCATGTTCTCCCCTCTGCTTAGACTGTACTTTCTTTCCTGTGCCGCCTGGCAAATTCCTTATTTAAGTCCCAGTTTGTATCCAGCACCACCGACCCTTAGGCTGCTATAGCACGTGTAAACCACCATTAAAGTATTTATCTTCCATGTCAG